GATAGAAAGAGTTGTTGCAGAAACAACATAGATAGAGTTCCGATCCGTAATGCCCATCTCTCTTCCAAACAACGGAATAAATGCAAATATCGACTGAGTTGAAACAGAGAAAAGGGCAATCGCAATGCAATACGACAAAAATCTATAATCCGCCATTAACGTTTTAATGTTTGAATGACTACAGCATCTCCTGCAAGAATATGTTTTGTTACAGCATTCTTTATCGACCTGGCCACTTTCGATTGAGCGTTTTGGATTTGCTGTTTGCTGACTCTTCCTAAAATAAAAGAAAATACAAATATAGACAAAATATCTCATGCTTAATAGACTACAGCTAAGAGTAATTAAGCATAGAGAACATATACTGGAAATTATCATAAAGTAAAAGTTTTGGTACTAGAAGGCCTTTTATTCTATTGTTATCATCATAATAGGGTTATACACGCCTAAGGCGTATTACAGCTTATAACACAATAAGACACTTTTTCATTATACAAAGTTATACAATGAGATGTACAAATACGCACTGGAGATAATGCTTTATCCAAAGTTTCATTAGTCTCATTAATCTGCTCATAAAGTACGTTATTGCAGTATCATTCTTATGGTGATAGACTGTTCACAATGGCCGTTTACAGTCCTGTACACAGACTGACATATCAGGTGCTATTCTAGAGGATAGTAAATTAGATTTTGGAAACCATTATACGTGCAATATTAAGATACTTTCATACTTAGGGCGTCGGTGTTGAGGTACCTTTTGCTGTTGATGTCGATAAGAAGAGGTCTGAAAAGGGATCCACATACAATATGTAACACTACTCCTGATTGTATTAGAAAGGCTCCGAGGAATCCGTAATACTCGAACAGAAAATTGATTGCAGCAGGAACAATGAAGGCCCAAACTGCCCACCCCGCTAGAGCATTGGCCAATCCACGTCTTTTGCTAAAGTACTGATTGACAATAATAACGGCCGAAGAATGGACGAGGCACATACCCATACCTGTAAAAGAAAACACAACATTGAATTATTTATTTTAACAAAACAAATACACTGTAAATGCATCGCTGTGCATCATCTGTGGCACTCTCTAGAGTTTCAGAATTAATATCGAACATATCATTTTATGTAGCTACGTCTAGAAACATTATGTGTACCGTCAAAGTTATTTCATGTATACGAAACTGACTCAACAAATGTAAAACATTACCTGTAGAGATTTGAGTTAAATACAGTGATTTATTTAAAGACAAATCAATATATTAGCAATTTCACTATAAACTGTCATTGTAGATACTAGAAATTCTACTGTTAACAAGAAAATAACGCTCAGTTAACACAATCTTAATGTAGACTTGGAACTTGGAACGCCTACGCAATGTAAATATTGATCAATCCAAGTAAGCAATTTTACATTTTAAAAGGAGGACCAAAAGATATCAAACACGTCTAGTTTTATATCGCACAACAAGAAAGAGTAATTCTTAATATCTCTCGAAACCCAGTGTTGTAAGTTTGTCAGTTGACGACATTATGCACAAAAAGGGATATTACGAATACCGGATCAACTGCGACATGGGGATGCTGCTATGTTGCTCTTCAGGAGTTTACAATGGCGTTTATTTTCGTGTGGTAGCAAATAAGCGATGTCTAGTTAGGATTTTCTGCCTTTTCTACATACAGAGAGTCAATCAGACATTATTTTCTTCAATATTTGCTTATCAATCTGTCTGGTTGTGTACGTCCAACATCTTCGTAACATATTTGAAATCAGAACAATACAGAGCTATTCGGCTTGAAGAAAAGTGTAACTACAGAACCCTGTACATTTTCATGAGATAAATGTAAATCAACTAGACCAGGAAATCAAAGTTGAAAGAGAGCACATATGTTAGCTTTGGTGGAAAGATACTACATTTTTTTTATCAAATGTTCAAATCTCAAATGAATTCCTAGAAGCCTTTACATAATTATCCTTGTGATATTTTTTGTCTATTTACTTTAAAGTTCCGTATCGTTAGTATTTAAATTTATAGTAAAATTTCAATTGAACGCCTTATTTTGATTCTGAATCTATTATATTTTATTAGATGACATGCAATCATGGCCCCCTTACATAGCTGACGATTCCTGGAACAAAACCGCTCTATAACGTAGCTTATTTAAAAGTTCGAAAGAATTTTAGATTTGTATTCAAATATGATATTCAATTGTCCGTTGTTTGTGTATTCTTCTGTTGTTGAGAAAAACACATCGTGTTTGAAGTTCTAAGGTCAACGTTTACTGCTTAAACTTATATATCAAAGCTAAAATGTTCAAGTAATTCTTATCATCTAAATTAGAAGAAGTGTGCTTACCTCCGAGTAATGAAAAACTGAAGATGGTAAATATCAGATCATCGACGAAAGCAGTCAAAGCGAGGCTCAATACTAAAACTAAACCTCCAGCTATTGAAACAGATCGACATGAGAATCTGTTGATAAAAAAAGCGCTCATCGGACCTAAAAATCAACATTAAAGTAATTATGTACCCAACATATCTTCAATCGATCAGTCGCATTGCTTACTACATTGAATAATGTAATACATTTACTTAGAATGGGTTTTAATGTCGTATCGGTGCATAGCTGAGAAGATCATTCTAGCTATTTACATATACAGCCCATGCAATATAGCCAAAAGGAAAGCATCTGATTTAGTTCGGTGGTGACGTGAAATCAAACAAAATATATCAATATGACATACTGCATACAACGTGCTTTAAAGACTGGACAAGAATTTTATCATGACACCGAACACAGTTTTGTAGAAATATGATGATTTTAATCCGAAATGGAATTATGATAAACTTGTTCTGTACCTAATATAGTTCGCAGTACACCTGGAAGTGTACACATCCAAAGGGTAAGAGCAGTTGATTGATGATACTTCTCTTCAAATTCCAGATAGAAAACCCCAGAGGACGATTGTAAACCAGCTAAAACACATGACATAATAATTAAATACTGAATCGACCGGTAATGGTTTTGAATTTTACATCTTCTCAAACATTGGATCTCCTTATTATGTATCTGTTTAAACTAGATCAGCCATCAGATTTATATAAACAAAATTAAAGTATACAATGTATGGTTTAATGATTACAAGTTGTACCTGGTCTTTCATCCGTAATATTACAATATATCACGGCAAGTATATGTCATTACATGAATCACACATACATGATTACCTGTACAACAGTTATAAGTGAAAATGTAGACATATTCATTATGCATTGTATATCCTGCCATTTTATACAATTTGCTATATAAGCATGTAGGTACATTTCACTTTCTCAATAATGTTTTACTCTTTCATATTTAGTGACTCATGTCATGTCATGACGGTGTTCATCCTTAAAATTTGTTTCATCTTAAACTTCTGATCTGTGATGCTTCGCACTATAACTGAGGTATTTTTCACCGATATCTTCTGTTGTCTATGATTTTAATTTATGTTTGTATGACTAGGCTTCTTTGTTTTTATATAGTTTGTTTGTTGAGGTAATCTGGTCTTGTATCACAAATATCTTGATTTTACCGATATGCAATCAAATAATTACTCGTATTATTTTCATCTCAGTATGATAAACTGTAGAAAGTGACAATTGCGCGTGGTTATTTGATGTCGATGCATTGTTTCAAGTTTAATTCAGTGTCATATTATCTGATGTGTTAAGTTGATAAACCTATTAGATTGCCTATTATGTTCTACAAAATTTTCATGACGTTTGTTGTTTAGATCCGAAAGTTAATAGAAAACAAATTAAGTACTCACATAATATCCCACGGGCCAAAAAACAACCGATGACGATTATCCAGCCCCAGCCACCATCAGGAGGAGACAATACAATCCTTCCTTTGTTATGCTGCGATGTTTTTGTTTCAGAGGAGGCGTTATCCATATTGCTAACGATGTCTCTGTTTGAACTTGAATTTCCCGCTTTTGAAATCTCTATGGCACTATGAAAAGAAATGGTGCTCAGTATGCATACATGTTTATCCTCCAATTCATATTATGTAATGTGTTACTATTTTTATATTCATTCAACAATTCCAGAGAGATAAGATCAAATATGGAATGAATGGAGAATGATTTAAAGTGCTGTCGTTGATATGAATGTGTTAAAACCAAATCTGCCAAAGGCCTGAAAGACTGTGCTCAAATGAGAAAGTAGGCCGATTCTAAGAATATGCAATTACGGGAATGAGAAAGATACTATTCCACTAGCAGGAAAGTATGATCCAAAATATGGAGAGAAAAAAACAATGATCATATTCCCTGCTGTTTCGGGAATAATTCAAAACTTTTATATATTAATTGTAACCTTAACAATTTTAAGATTATTTTCTTATGATGTTTCTATAATAAAATTATATTCACAATCAGAGATAGAAAAACTGAACTGTTCTCAGTAGATCAATTTCCTAGATTTTATATCCGGATTATTGAAAAAGAATGAAAATATATAAATATGGTAACCCCTTCGTATTTTCTTAGTAAAACTTTCATATCCGACAGTGAACCTGACAAGAAGTGTGTTTTGGTCTCTCCAGATACAAATCCAAAATACACTGGAATTACTGGAGTATCACTGATGAAACTGGTCACAGCTATTCAATACCTGTTATAGGATGTTACTGTAGTGTTGGTGAAGAGAACTTATTCTGAAAAACAAGTTATTTGACCAAAAAACATCTGAGGTCTGACAAGAGATCACCATGGTTGAGTGACCACAGTGCTGACCACTATCAGCCATACACCTGGGACTTACCTGTATTGTGTTCTCACACATAGTTATATATATATATATAGACATACAGAAGCACTGTAACTGAGCAACCTGTGTCTTCACTGATTTGTAAACATGTCTTCTACAAGGAGTTCAAGTGCATGTAATAGCAAAGGATATGTGAAAGCTTCTCAAAGTTATTCTGGAATACTAAGTGATGTATCCAAAATGATGAAAAACTGGATAATATTTTTGAAATTTTCTCCACTCTTCAACATGAGATCAATATGCAAATGAAAGTCCTTCGAGAAGAAATTAAAACAGAAAACCGAGAACCAGTTGAAAGACTTGAGGGACGTATTTTTGACTTGGAGGAGCAGAACTCGAAAGTAACACATACAGTTGAAACTCTGGAAAAAAAAGTGGCAGATTTAGAGGATAAACAGCACGAAATGGTCAATAAACAAAATCACTTGGAACAGCACAGCAGAAAAAACTTAATTAGAATATTTGGCATAGAGGATAACAACAAGTTCGAATCTGCAGAAGAATGTGTCAACAAAATTGTAAAGTTTGTGAGGGACAAGTTGAAAGTAAACATCAGTATTGACATTGCCCACAGATTAGGCCCTTACCATAAAGACAAGTCTAGGATTGTGATATGTAAATTCACTCATCGCAGAAAAAAGATGGAAGTGATCAACACCAGAAAAGCACGTAGAGGATTAGGATGTGTTATAACTGAGGATCTTACTCGAGCCAATCAAGAAAAACTGAAACAGGTTTTCCATCTTGGGTCTGTTGAAAAGACTTGGAGTACAGATGGCAATCTATTCGCACTGTTGAAAAATGGTAAAAAAAGGAGAATCCTGAATGACACTCAGCTGTGTGACAAGTTTTTGCTGAATGACAATAACTTTGCCCGTTGATTATATACTGATATATGTTTCAACCTGAAACAAGCATGTGATACACATGTCTGCATCTGTGAAAATCAGTAACATGTATATGTACAAAATTCATTTCAGTATTTAAGAAAACAAATATATATACATTTAGTGTATAAAATAGGGCCTGTATCATATTTTTTTTTGTTTACTTTTATGTGTTGTTACCAGGTTTCTGATTATAAACCTTGCTTTTTGTTTCCAAAGCATCTGTTTTAAAAAAGTATATCAGATAAGCTTCATAAATATTGATACCGATATTGTGCAGCATACTCAATAACAAATATACATATTTTGTAAATAGCCTAATAAATTATGCCACATGCTTGAATATTGAATCAATAAAATATTTCCCATGTGAACACATCGATATCGAAGGACAAGTAATGCATGTATCATAATACATATAAGTTAAAATGTTTGTTGATAGCATGACGGATATTATGTAATCCGGAGCCGGTTTCAATTTTGCAAAAGTATTGTTGACTTTCGGTACGCTTTCTGCGATGGACATCATCGAAGGCAAAGCATGTGGTGGAGAGTGTAAGAGTGGATGAAATGTGAATGGATGTATAAGGTAAAAGAGTTTAGGTAAATTAATAGATATTGATTATGTATGGTTTGATAGTGGTTCAGTTTCATCTGACCACATCTTTATGTTTTCTGTGTCTTCTTCTTTCGTGTACTTCTAGTACTGCCTCTTGTTCTTTTCTTCTGTGTCAGTTTCATTACATTTACTAGAATATTCCTGGTAAGGAAACTTTTCATATCTTTTTCGATTGTCATACAACTTATTTGTTGAGGGTATAAAAATAATATCAGCAAATTGTCAAGGTTTAGGAGATAGAAATGAAAGAAAAGATGTATTTTCTTACCTAAAAAATAAAAACTATAATGTTTTCTGTTTACAGGATACACATTTCACACATGACATTGAAAATATAGTTAGAGCAGAATGGGGTTATGAATGCTATTTAAATTCATTTAGATCCAATGCAAGAGGTGTAGCAATATTTTTAATAACAATTTTGAAGTAAAGGAAATGCAGGAAAGAAAGGATTTGACAGGGAATTGTTTGGCTCTTGATTTGACGATAGAAGGTAGAGAAGTAACTCTAATAACATTGTATGGCCCAAATTCAGAAAATCCTACTTTTTATGGAAACTTAACAGAAACTATTTATGCATTTGGCAATGAGTCTTATATAATATGTGGTGATTTTAATTTAACTTTGAACCCTATCCTAGATAATGCTAAAAGCTACAAACATATTAACAACCCAAAAGCCAGAGATAAGATAATTGAACTTATAGAAGAGTTGGGAATGGTTGATATATACAGAGAACAACATCAGGAACATAAAAGATACACCTGGAGGAGAAGTGACCCTATTGAACAAGCTCGTTTATATTTCTTTCTTATATCAGACAGCTTCTTAACAAGTATTCATTACTCAAATATAGAGCCAGGCTACAGAACAGATCATTCATTCCCTATTATTGCTATAAGATTTAATGAATTTAAGAAAGGATTATGGAAGTTTAATCATTCACTCTTATATGATTCAGATTATCTTGAACTCATTAATAAACTTATTTTAGATATCAAAATACAATATTCTCTTCCAGTGTACCCTTTAGATAACATCAAAAACATTCCTGATTTTGATCTACAATTCACAATAAACGATCAACTTTTTTAGATATACTACTGATTGAAATTCGTGGCAAAACCATTTCCCACTCTTCATATGAGAAAAAACAACAGAACTTAAATTAAAGTAATCTTATAGAAACTATATGTGACTTAGAAGATTGTAGTGATGTTGATATAGATAAACAGAAAGGTAAAAACAGGAATTACAAAATATCAGATTACATAAATCAGAAGGTAGCATAATCAGATCTAGAGCTAAATGGATAGAGGAAGGTGAGAAACCAACAAACCATTTTTTAACCTAGCAAACAGAAATTACACTTCAAAGTTAATACCAGTGATAGAAAAAAAATGGTAACAAAATAGCTCAACAGGTAGAAATTCTTGATGAGGTTAATTTTTTTTATAAAAAATTGTATACAGTTGATAATGATATAGAAGATGTTAATACAGATGACTTTTTTAAAAGATGAAGATATACCGAAATTAAATATTATAGAATCTAACAAATTAGAAGGTAAAAACTACTCTTGAGGAAGCTTCAAAGACTTTAAAAGCTATAAAAAAAATAAAAGTCCAGGCTCTGACGGATATACAGTTGAGTTTTTTTAAATGCTTTTGCAAGCAATTAGATACTTTTATGGTCAGGTCAATTAATTATGGTTTCAATCAGGGTCAGTTATCAATTACTCAAAGACAGGGCATAATTACATGTACACCTAAGGGAGACAAACCTTGACAATATCTTAAAAATTGGAGACCAATTTCTTTACTAAATATTATCTATAAAATTGCATCTGGATCAATAGCTAGTAGTATAAAAACAGTTTTAAGTAAAATAATTAATACAGACCAAACAGGATTTATTGCTGGCCGCTATATTGGGGAGAACACACGAAAAGTATATGATATTATGCAATATGCAGAAGATAGAGATATACCTGGATTGCTGTTAATTATTGATTTTGAAAAAACTTTCGACTCTGTTTCTTGGAATTTTATTGACAAAGTTTTGGATTATTTTAATTTTGGGGAAGATGTAAAAAAAATGGGTAAAAATTCTACAAAAAAAATCAAGTTCAGCTATTAATCAAGGGAGAAATTTGTCTCCATGTTTTGAAATTCAGAGAGGCTGTAGGCAGGGAGACCCAATCACACCATATATATTTATAATGTGTGCTGAAATTTTAGCTATTAGAATAAGGATATTGATAATATTCCGATTTTACTTTCTCAATATGCAGATGACACTACACTTATTTTGGACGTTATAGAGAGATCACTTAAAGAGTCAATAGATGAATTAAAAGCTTTTGCAAAAATATCTGGATTAAAAAATAAACGTTTCTAAAACGCAGGCTATTTTGATTGGGAGTAAAAAATATAGTGATGAAGTTGTGTACCCTGAAATAAATTTACAGTGGGGAAATAAAAAAAAATATACTTTTAGGCATTGAGTTTTATGTGGATCTACACCGAATACCTAAATTAAAATATGATAAAACAACTAGTAAAGATAAAGGCACTCATTAGAACTTGGGAAAGAAGAATTTTGACTCCAATAGGTAGAATTCATATTATAAAGGCATTATCAATTTCTCAGTTTAATTACCTCTTTATCTCATTGCCAAATCCAGATGATAATTTTCTGAAAAAAGTTAAACACAGAACTGTACTGTTTTTTATGGGAAAGTAAGGTTGATGAAGTCAAAAGAGATATTATTAAAAAATACATTGATGGGGGTCTAAAAATGATACATGTAAAATCTTTTATCGACGTTAACATGGTTAAGGAGACTCTATACAAGTCCAAGTAAATGGCAAGTAATTTTAAGAACTTTAATTGATAATCATATTTTAGCTAATTGTAGACCTGAATATATTTCAATATATCATAAAAATTGTAAGAATTTATTTTGGAAAGATGTTTTTGAGGCATGGATAAACTTAACAAATAAACACATTTTTAAACAATCCCCAGATATATTGGCCAAAACACCATTATGGTATAATAATGTAATAAAAGTAAATAACCAGTGTATTTTTATAGGGATTGGCACAATAAGGGTATAATTATTATCAGTGACTTAATCAATAGAGACACTAATTTGTTTTACTCTTTTCAGGAATTTCAACAGGTCTTTGGTATTAATACAAACTTTCTTAATTACCAAGGAATTATTTCAGCTGTTCGAAAACATATAAATAAACAGAACTTACCATCTCCTATATATCCTTTCATACCGATTCACTTAGAAATTCTTTTCCGCAGTAAAAAGGGGACTTACTCTGCAAAAATAATACTATATCTACTGGAAGAAAAAAATGGGATGACAATTTTAATTTTGATAATGAAACATGGAGGAAAATATACAAAATGCCTTTTCAAATTACCAAAAATTCAAAATTACAATGGCTTCAATACAGAATCAATCAAATATTCTAACAACAAACTCATTCTTATTTAAGGCAGGAATAGCTGATAGTCCCTATTGTAATTTTTGTAAAACTGATATTGAAACAATAGAACATACCCTATGGGAATGTGATAAGGTTCAGGATATATTACAAAATTTAGAATTTTTATTAGATGCTTTAATGATCCCTTTTGCTTATAATAAAGAGACTTTTATCTTTGGACTTTACAATCAAGAAGGTATAAGAACATCAATAGACAGCACAATTATTGTAATTATAAAACAATATATTTATTCATCAAGATGCGTACAAAAAATCTATCAATAAATGGTCTGAAAAAAGCAATCATGGACGACTACATTACACAAAAATGCATTGCAGCAGGCAAAGATGACACATAATAACAATTTTCAAAATGATTGGAAAAAATGGCAAAATTTCTCTCTCTCTCTCTCTCTCTCTCTCTCTCTCTCTCTCTCTCTCTCTCTCTCTCTCTCTCTCTCTCTCTCTCTCTCTCTCTCTCTCTCTCTCTCTCTCTCTCTCTGCATATGTGTGTGTGTCTTGTCTTTTTTTCCTTTGTGTGTATCTGTTTTATTTGTGTGCTTTTCTCAACCGTGTGTGTATTTCTGTTTGTGTCTTTTTCTCATCCTCATTCTACTTTCACACTTTCCTTTTCTCTTTTTTTCCCATGATATACTATGCAATGTAAACATTTGAGAATTGTAGTGAATGTGTTTGTATGAAAATGGAAGTGAGGGAAATGTATGCAAGACTTTTGAATATTACAATTATTAATTGTATTGTACTTTGCATTGTATTAAAAATTCTGAAAAAATAAAACAGATAAAAAAAAACTTTCTTATCCAAATGATTTGCAATTTTGTGAAATCAAACGAAAATGTGGCATA